GTGCTTTGGATGGCGCGGCAGCGTCAACCTTGGGGGTGAGGGACCGCCGCAGCCGGCGATGTCGATGCGCACGAAAAACACGAGTGCAGCGCCGTGCGAGCCAGAGAAGGAGGCGCCCGTCAGGATGCTGTCAGCCTCGGTGCGCTGGCTAACGGTCGAAACGCGGAATCGAAGTCCGATCGTCTTCAACTCCGAAGGGGGAGGTGAGCTGCGCATTGAGAATGTGGGGACCAACCAGAGCTGGCGAGGCCTGATGACCAAGCTCAGGCTCTACCTGCGCTCCATCGAGAGCACGCTTGAGCGCAGTCCCGACGACGAGACTACCATCGTCGTGCTGGCGGATGCGGCTGACGTAGCACCCAACGGCTGCTCGGCCGGTGAGATGGTCTCGCGCTATCACGAAGTGGTGCGCGCGAGTGGTGGCGCATGCTCACGTCCGCTGTATCGCAGCGCGCCTGCGGCGACGGGAAGCTCATTCTTGTAGTGCACGATTTTGGCGCAATCTATGGTGTGCTCGCCAGCAGAAGCACGGGCAGCCCGGACGCAACCAGTGATCGCGGGGCACGTGCTGCTAGGCATGCTGCTGGCCGCACGCTTCCCTGAACTCATCCGCTGCGTGATCGCGCTAGATATCGGGTATATCGAGCTTGCTGGCCTCGCAGGGCCGCACAGCTGCCGCGGCCTGCGCAACCTCTGCTTCTTCGGGGCGATGTATCAGTGGGCGCTCTGCTTGTGCTGGCTGCTTCAGCTGCTCCCTCTCATCGGCCACTTGATGCGCGCGGCCTGCTTTTGTTGCCGGCCAGCGTCGTGCTACAGCTACTTTTATCTGCACACCCGTTGCTGCTGCGAGCCGGCATGGCGAGAGAGCATCGACTGGACGCGCTACCCGCCCCAGCCGACGCTGTTCTTGCATGCCGCGTGGCTTTGGCCGCTGAGCAAATTCCTGCGCTTCTACGACGAGGCGTGGGCACGCGGCCTCGTGACGCGGGGCGATGGCTCTCGGGCTCTGCGCATGAGGGGGGACCACTACTTCTTCACGAGGCGACACCCCTTCCGCATTTTACCCAACGACCTGGCGGAGGTCTGCGCCGCAATCGACGCCTTTCTGGACGACGTCCCGTTGAGCGCCGCGGGCTGTGGTGTATAATGCCCGAGTACGACTACCTTTACGGCTCTATAAAAGACGTCGAAAAGAGGACGCTCGGCATACGGCACCAGCCTGCAGCCTCGTGCCAGTCAGAGCCACGGCCCACGGCCACGGGCTCGTGTTCTCGTCTTTTTCTGCATTCTGCAGTGCACTGGCGGGCATATTTCGAATGATATATGTCAGAGAGGCTAAAGGGACGTGTCGTATGTCACGCGCGCCCACCCAGCGAGAGGTCCAAGTTACCCCCACGGCTGCCACACCGAAATGACACCACACGAGAGCCGCGCTCACACACGTTTGACGATCACTCCGCCCCTCTCTCGCCTCCCCGCCCCCGCGCCTCGGCGCCGCCGGCCGCGCCCGCGCCCTCTGGCGGGGAGAGGGAGGCGCGCTGCGCCTGCACCCAGCCGGCTATCTCCGGCCGCAGCGTCGCCGCCTCGTCCAGCGCCGCCTCCGCCTCCGCGGCGAGCCCCAGCGCGGTGTACACCTGCGCAAGGCAGAGGTGCGCCTCCGCGAAGCTCGGCTCGAGCTCGATCACCTGCTTGAGCAGCTCCGCCGACGCGGCGTGCTGCGACTGCATGTGGAGCGCGAGCGCGCACTGGAAGCGCAGCGGGCCGGAGTCCTCGCGCGGCGCCGCCAAGATGGCTGGCCATAGCACGTCCACCGCCTCCGCCGGCCGCCTCGCCTTGAGGAGCTCCTTGGACCGCCCCACCAGCGAAGGCACGTCGGGCGCAGCACCAGCTCCAACACCCGCGACCGAAGCAGCAGCAGAAGCAGCAGCAGCAGCAGTAGGAGCAGCAGCAGCAGCAGCAGCCTCAGGCGCCGCGTCCGCCACCCCTTCAACTCCATTTGTCGGACGAAGCGCCATGCCCGCCGCCGCGCCCGCCGCCGGCCCTGCACGCGCGAGAGCAGCCCCGCCGGCCGGCGCAGCCGCGGCCAACGCGGCGAGGGGGGGAGAGGAGGCTGTGGCTGCGGCTGTGGCTGTGGCTGCGGCGACGGTGGCCGTGGCGGTGGAGGCCGTGGCGGTGGCAGTGGTGGTGGCGGCCCTGGAAGCGGCCCTGGAGGTCGCGCCGCTAGTTGCTGTGCGAGGGAAAAGGCGGATTTTGGGAT